CACAGTTCATCAGAGAGTGTTCCCCTGCTATTGCAGGAGGCAGAGATGTAGTAAGCAGAGGTCAGCTACCGAAAAATCTGTGTGCCTGTCTAAAAGATATTATATAATATGTTAGGCTAATTTTACTTCATTTCATATTCACATATATTAGTGCAGCTTTTGTTATACACTTATCCTTATGTAAGTTACATCTGTTCTTTTATTCACTCATCCATGTTTGCTCTGCTTTCAGATTTATGAAACAGGCATTCCACTGAGCTCAGCAAATGATGGGCGTAATAACTTATCTAAATTGCAAAGTATGTGATGCCCTTGAGGTAAACTGAGATGTGAAGGTTTTATGAAGTGTCTCACATGTGGAAGTGTAGGAAAGTGTTTATTTGCCAACTCCTGTCTATCCTTTGGCTGTTCAAATGATGGTAAGAGGATCCTATGAAACTGCTATGAAAGCCTAGGGGCTAAATGGAGAAGTAGAACTACATTATTATCTTCACAGGGGAAGCAGAGCCATACTGGCACTTGCACTTATTTGGCTCTCCTCTCTTTGGATGTCAAAAGTTTCTGGTTGATAGGCTCTAAAGTATCTATTTATTTAATGAAATGCCTCTCACTGTAACAATATTGTGAGGCTTTATTAATGAATTTATTCTTATGAGATAGGAAAGTAATCTCTTTTTATTTCTTTATTTTTTCTCTGATGAGACCGCAGAGAAACAAAGGCTCTGTAGAGGAAAGGAGGAGCCTTCCTGCCCTTTTATGTATCTGAGATACTCTAAACCCCTCTGCTTGTCTGTAGCTGCTATCAAGTCCTGCAATGGCCATGCAGAGACCTGGTTCCTTGAGTTACTAAGGGCCAAGATTTACCACTAGTCCCAGCATTCATGTTCACAGCAGATTTCACTTACATCATATGTAACTCTGTCAGGCAAAGAAACTAGTCAATAATGGCCAGACCTGGCTGTTATGGTGGTGCCTCCACTTGCTTAAGACCCAGTGGCTGGACCAAGTCTTGTGGCACTGAGTCAAATTATGAGGTTAGTTGCCCTCAATCTCTCTTGGAATTTTCCTGTTCATTGCTGCTGAGCCTTGTGCATCAGAAGTCATTGCTCAAACTGCTGGGCTAAGTTAGTCTTGTTAAAATAATAATTTGAATTAAGAAGTCACTTTAAAGTCCAGTAAGCAAAAATACATTTCTACGTCTGTTTGCTGGTGAAGACTTAAGCCTCTTTAAAAGAGGAGGTTTGATGCTCTTTCCCATAGTGTTTCCTATTGACTACTTTAGGAGGGCTTCCCATTCATAAAGGTGGCTTCAGAGAAGTCTGTTCTCATGAAATGCTGATGGTGTGATATTGAAGTACCTTCACGACTCAACCTATAACACAATTTGGACAGAGCCAGTAACTAAAAAAAAAAATTCCTAAGCTCTGGTATGGTGCCTTGAATCCTCTGTAAGCCCAGCAGCCTGGCCACCAGCAAGTTCAATTTGGGAATTTCTGACAACTATAAAAAGAAGAAAGGCGGTAAACATTTTTTTAGTAATGCCCATGTTCCTGAAGTAGACTGGGACTCAGTCCCTCCATTAATTGCTTGAAAAGTCTTAGACCCAGGTGTCTGTTTCCCCAAATTGCTAATACAAAGCTCACATTTAATCCAGGGGACTGCAAGGAAAATGTCAGTAAAATCCTGGAGAATAGGGATTTTGGGAGACTGACCCAGCCCATTTTTCCTGCCTCCGAGGCATTCTTCAGGGATATCTAGTACGTGGGTAAAGCCTCTGTAGGAGCATGTTTCTTAATCTCCCAAGGTAATCCAGGCTCGCCTGGGTCAGTTCTCCTTGTGGCTGCAGAGTCCATAGCCTGCTAATACTGAGAAAGGCATTTTCTGTGCAGTGATGTTCTCTTTTCTCCAGCTAATTACGAGGTCATTGTTCATTTCTTTGTATTTAAAGCTTCCAAAAATAATTAGCCCATTTGATAAATTAGTTCACTTAAAAACATAAATTTGTCAGTGAATTGGATGAGCAGTGCAGCACCCAAAACACTTGAAGCGACACATATATTACTACTTTGTCAGTCCTGTAAATTCAAAATTGCCCAGATTAATTTCAAACTAATTTGATAAGCCCTCCACTGTGACAAAAGGAGAAGTGCTTGGGTGTCAGGCTTTGTGCCCTTCTATGTCGCATTTCAGCCTGAATGAATTTTTTATGGCTGATTCTGGAATATAAAACTCTGAAAACAGTGGTTTGTAGTGGCAATTCTGACAGACCCTTTAGCCATTTGGAAAATAGGCACTGCTATAATTCTGCTGCATTAGAGAAAAGTTTTGAGTGCTTTCATTAGGTGCAACAGCTGTTTCTACTGCAAAAACCAAACTTCATTGGTGGTAGTGTAGCTGTCAGCTTTCCAGAGTTTTGTGTTTATAGCTGATTGTATAAACTCCTTTATGTTCTTTTTTGCTTTCCAATATATGTAAATTAATTCGATAGCAAAAATACAAATAACTACCTTGTAACTAGATCTGTGTGAAGGTTCTTTGTGGGCTCCTACAATCAGTGTCATGTGATGAGTGAACTGAGAAATACTGAACTTTTCAAAATGGTTCTAGCACAAGTGATATGTGGTGACCACATCAATTTTTAATCATTGGATTTAATCCTCCTTCTTAGTTATGCGTTAGAGTTTGCTAATTAGGGTTGATGTTAAAAAAACCCAAACCACAAACCAACAAAAAATCCAACAAAAAAGCCCCCAAGCTCCCTCAGTGTTTTCCTGTCTCCTCTATTTAAAGAGATTTTCTTCCTAAGAACATGCTGAATATGCTGAAATTAAATTTTGGAAAAAAAAGTAAAGTAGAAATTTGATGATGCTTTTCATTTCTTTGTTCTGATATGATAGAGAAAAATATTTTTGTATTATGAAACAAACAGTGAGTTCTGCTTGGAACAAGATGCCTCAAATCAAATAGTTATCTGAGTTGTTAAAAATGAAATGGAAAACTAAGTTCAGAATGCAAACAAATTTTGAAGCACCAAATTTAAAAATGGCAGAGCAGAATTTCATGGATTCAGCAAATTTTATTCCCAAATATTGAATTATGCACAGATTCATGTGGCATAAGATCAGCTACCAGTCCATTTTGAAATGTTAGCTTGATCTCAGTTAAGGTTATATTGAAAGTAAAAGTATCCAGAGAAATATAAAGGATGTACATACACGCGTATGAATACACCGAAAGAAAATACTTTGTTTTACTGAATTTACAATGAAATATTAGCCTGTCTGTTGAAAGATGTGGGAATCTTTCTGGTACCACCAACAAACTTTTAATGAGCCTTTAATAAATATTTAGATATCTGTGAACTTGGTCTAACTTTCAGCCACCATCCTTTCTCAGCAGCCTCTGAACTGCGGTTGTTCAGAGTTGTGAAAATTGGGCTGGCTATTCAAACACCTAACTGTGGATTAAAATCCTGACTTTTGGAAAAATCTTCGGAAAACTGTCTTCGACATTTAAGTCTATTTTCTGAAAACGAGAAGGATAAGTGCTGGAAAACTACAGGGAATAGGTTATTTATAAATATATCATTGACTTTTTGCATTCATCTAGTTATCAATGTTTATTATATATGGCAGGAAATATGTATGTAATTGTATAAAATTATATAATTCGTATCACACGTAGCGTTTGTGTTGCAAAAGATTCTCATATGATCTGTAGGCAGGTGTGAGAGATTTAGAGACTATCCTGGCACAATGTAAAAGTGGTATGAATATTTATCCTCTGTTTTGCCTCACGAGCTTTTGAGAGAGATGAAACCCAGTCTGTCTACAATTTTGGGCATTTAGGTTTTGGTTACTTTCTGAAAACATTCTGTACTCGGAAAGTTTTATTAAGAGCCACTGATCTGACAGCTAACAGAGGTAATACACCTACTCAGACTTTCTCTCAGAGGAGATGCCTTCTGAAATTTTAATTCAAATCTCTTGGAAATATGGGCTCTGAAAATACCTTGACCCTCCACCCTGTGATTTGTTTCAGACATCTCTGTCTTATTTGCTTATCCTGGTTACACCGACTCAGTGCAGCCAGGGTTTGTGTTTTCAGTATCTTCCCTGAGATCTGTCTGTAAACCCTAAATCCAAAGAGGGACAATTGCGAGTCCCGACAGTGCAGAAATTCAAACCCTCTGTTCTCCAACCTCCCACCGCAGCCACAACCCAGACTGAGCATGTGTCCGTCTGGGATCTGACGGAGCCGTAAGATGTAAGGCCAATACTTTGAACGATTAGCAACCTTTTCCCTTCCTGGTGATGTGTTGCTATCCTTTTCCTCTGAAGTGGTTGAATGTCAATGGTGTTGAATGCCCGGAGCTGTGCTTTGCTCTGGTTTGAAAGGTTTTGTAAAAATGTAAGATGCTCCTATTACCTCCCAGCCTGACCTATTATTCATTACGTTGGGTCAGATTCATCTGTACAGAGAACCAACACAAGGCTCCCTATGTTTCACAAATCCTTTAAGAATTAAATTGACCGGTTGCTGTGCAGAGACTCCAGAAAGGCATTTACATGTCTTTTACCTCTCACATCACCAAAGCCTCATTTGAGCTCCACTAAGGCACCTAATTTGTTGGGCTGAATTTTATTCCCTAACAACCCCCCCCCCCCCTAATTAGCACGGTACCCCATATGACAAAGATGGAAAAGAAGTATAATTATCAGCCAAAAATAAGCTATTCAGGTTTTTGGGTTTGGTTTTTTTTTTTGCATTAGATAACCACATGAGACTATTAACATGGACAAAGATCAGCCATAGGGGCTAAAGCAAGTAATAAATATGTATTTGTGGTTAGTGCCTGAGCACTAACAGAGTTCAAGGCATGCAGTCAGGTTTCACATGGCACCTACTTTCTTTTCTACCTTTTGAACAGATATGACTCAGGTGGACATTTACTCCCCAAGGAACAATACACTTTCCTGCCCTTTGCTGCAGGTTTTTACCTTCTGAATTTTATTCCACACACGTCCTTTATCACTTCTTCTTCCTTCAAGGGTGTCCATGGCATCTGCCATTAGCGACTGCAGCTGTGGCACCAAGATAAAAATTATCAGTGTGGAATTCACACAGAAATAACTTCTCTAAATACACAGATTAAAACCTAATTAAAAAATCATTTGTACGCTGATGATTTTATTACTCATCTTTCACACAATGAGCACTGCCACCTCATCTTTGCTTCAGCCATTACACTGTATTATTGTGGATATAAAATACTTAACAATGGGAAAAAATCCTCTGGAAAATTCGTATTTAAGCCTATACATTTTAATGCAGTAAATGTTTATACTTAGTAAAGAAAGACTTGGGTTGTAAAGAATAAAGGCTCCATTTTTCATTCTTTAGCTGTCTGGGATACTCTGTGTTGTACATGAATACTTTTTAGTATTTTCTCCCAAGGCTAATGTATCATAATTTAAAGCAGCATGTAAAACCTCACAAGAGGACAACACTAAAGCTGAGATGCTTTTACTGTAGCTGCAAGTATCTAGCTCATTTTCCCTGCTTTTTCTATCCTTTTTCTTTGGCAAACCCTCCCTTCTCCCCATCATTCAGCACAACAGAGCATAAAACCAAGGCTGACAATTTCTAGTGTAAGCTATAAAAAGAGCTGTAGGAAAAGACTTGCTAATCAGTCCTTAATGTTAGAGGGAAGGCTAAAATTCAGGTTAGTTGTAGTATTGCCTCACTCCAGTTCCCTTCCAGGTTAGTCCCTGCGTTGCCTCACCCTGCACCCTTCCCAAACACTTGAAGATGTTTCAGTTGCTCTTAATTCAGTAACAGAGAGACAAGGGTCGGAGCCAGGGTGTCCTCCATGATCAGTGTTTAGGAACAAACTGGGAGAAAATTGTATTTACCACCTGTGATATTGCTGTGCTCTATTAGGTCTATTCCAAAATGTTTAGTTGGTTAAAGTGAACCCAAACAATAGTTTTTGGTGTGTCTTCCCCAATTTGCTACTCATTACAAGTAATTGGACAGTATAAGGGTAAGCATTCATAGAGAATTTGCCTCTTCTTTCTGTACCTAGGCGGGCAGCAGTCTAATATGAGTACATAAGGTGATGAAACTTAAAACCTCAGTGTTTAGGCTCATCTACGCAAGCCATGAAAATGCTGCCTTGAGATTCGAGGAGCAGAGCTGTGTTTCCTCAAGTTTACCTTCACATTCAGGTTTTTGAAGTTAAAATTCTTTGTCTGTGTCCCAACACTGGATAAAGGATGCAGGAATCTTCTTTTGAATCTCTAAATAGATTTGTTGTGGTTGGTTCCAGCCTGCTTTCTCTGTGCTTGTGCAGCCATTAAGTTGAATCGCAGTGGTCCAAATATTTGATGAAACCTTTTTTTTTAAGTCATGTATCAGTATTCATGAAAAATAAGCCTGCAAATTTCTACCCCTGACTTTAAGGCGAAAAGAGTCAAGAACCTGTCAGAAACTTTCCATCACAGTACTTTTATGACAGATAGTCTCTTTCTATGAATCCAGAATAGACACAGCCCAGAGATTAAGGGTATTAAGGGCAGAATGGGCAAAGCACAGATCCTGTGTCAAACCAGGCAGAAGAGGAAACGGTCAGGGGAAGGGGAGGATTTCTCCATTGCTTTTCTTGGAGTGATTCTCTCTGAAGACCTGGTTGAACAGCACCCACCGGGGCAGGGAACAGGACATCGGTCCATCACGCTCCAGGGGCCGCTCCAACAGCCCAACCAAGCTGGGGACCTCACTGCTTTGGGCAAGAAGTTAAAAGAAGAAACCTTTCCAATTAAAGTTTTACTGATATCGATACATGCCAGTGAAAAGTGCCCAGTGAGTGCTCTGGTTTTAATTTTTATCACCCAAAGTTTTTCACCAGCTCTGTTGGCAGAGAAAATGTGCATGCTACAAGAGCAGGCGGATGGCAAACCACAGTAATTTTCCCAAAGCTGGTCTTTTTTGGAAAATCCCCTCTAAGGAAAAATGCTGCAGTTTTAAAAATATCTCGTCCTCATTTGATTTTAAATTGAAATAGATTTCTGCTTTTTTAACAAGCTTTCATCTTGATTTATGATGTACAAATACGGTGACACCAGAATCATAAGCCTTGGAAAGATTTTCTTCAGTGTTTTTCCCCACTTACATTCAACTATTCAAGCTAACTGAAATCTTTATTTTCCCAGGGTCTGTGAATAAATACTGATCTAAACAGGCCTCAGTTGAGGTTCTCTGTGCCATAGATTAGGACTCTATTTATTTAGTTACAGGAAGATATTTACACAGAAGAGTTTATAATTGAAATGCTTTTGGGATCCTTGCTGTATCAGTGCAAATTGCACTATTATAAATTCAGTGTGTTTTAAACATTATACAACTTATACTGTATGTGATAATAAACATTTGGCATCTTTAGCATTTTCTAACTCACACAATTTAACTGCTTTCCTTGGTCATAAAGTCTTATCTCAGTTTTACCAATGTAAAGTCAGAATGACCTCAGAGGAATTACTTTAAATTTTTATTAGCACAAGTGAGATTAGAATTTGGCCAGTTTAGTTTTATTCATGGAAAAATTTAGATATCTCTTAGGAATGTTGCTGAAGAGTGAGAAGCACATGGAGTCAGCATGGGTGCTGTGATTCTGACCCCACGGACATGGCGGGGTTTGCCTCTGTAGCATCCATTGAGGGCTGCTGAATCACACCAGTACAGACCAGTCCTGCAAATGTTTCATTCTGCCTGGATACCAGTGAAATGAGGAAGATGAACAGGTAGGCTGAGAAAATGAGGAGCTTTCGCTCGCTGCCTGGATGGTTTGGATGCGCGGACCCAACGATGGGCAGCAATGTTCTGCACTTGATGCAGTTGCGATGTGGTAGGGAAATGGTCCCTACTGGCATAAGAGGAGCCTGTGCCATGTGGGCTGATGCCACCAGGAAAGGTAAAGCCCATTAATCACTCCCTGGTGAAGCCACTCTGCAAGTTCTTGCTTGCAATCTTGTGCCTTAACACTGTGGTGCCTGAAGTTTACTAAAATATTCTAGCTACAAAGCATCTGAGCCTCCATTTGCACACACAGACTATAGATATATTTTACAGCAGGATGACAAGACAAAGAAAAATAAATAAATGCTGAATTAATACATTTTAATGCTCTGGACAGGATAGCTGCTAGAAATTTGCTGCCTTTATTATTTCAAAAAACATTTTTACCTTGGGCTCAGTAAACAAAGCCTGTGTGTTTCGTTGAAAGATTTATAATCCGTCACTTAAATCTCCCAGCACGGACCCTCGTTCTGCCCAGTCCTGCCCCTAAGAGACTGAAGACCTTTGTCTTGGGTGGCCCAGAGCCTCCCCAAAAAGCTTTCCAGGGAGGTCAGGCTTATGATTACTACATGACAAGATACAGGCAACAGTGTAATAGTCTGTGCCTAACGTGTGATGTACTGAAAATATTGTACCCTGGAGAAAAACCTATCACTGAAATATGTACCAATAACTCAGACCCTTTAGTCAGCCCTGAAATGTGGGCCTGCTGAAGTTTAATACTAGAAAACTTGCATCAAAAGGGGAATGTCTTTTAATAACACAGTTTCTTTGCAATGTCGTTTCCCCTTATCTCGAGCCCAGGCTTCGAAGTCTGGCAACTACCTCCTGCAGTTGCAGGCCGCTGCTCGTCTTCCCTAAAGCAAGCTGCTGTGAAGCTTTAATTCTACAGAGCTTAGGAGCTTTGCAGGACTGCAAACAAATGTCAAGGGACCGGCTTTGGGAAAACCAAGAGTTTTTAGTGAACCGAAGTTGGATCATCAAAATTGGACTGCATTTAAATGCAGGGACTGTGGAGGGACTTTTTTTTTTTTTCCTAGAATGAAATGCTGAAAATTTGCTCCCTCCCTCCCCCACCAGAAAACCCGACAGCCTCGTGGGAGAATAACCACATGGTGCTTTCTGATTGCAGGTTATCGATATACTGTCAAGCTATTAATGACTCTAGTCTTGCAACAGCCCTGCTAGCATCACTGCCCTCATTTTACAAAGGGAAAACAAAAGCATAGCAGGTAGGCAGGTTTATTCAGAGACAGGGAGCAAGTTGTAGATGGAGCCAGGAAAGAAAATCTTTTCTCTCCTTTCCCCCCTCTCCTCAGCTTTAACTAGATTTGGCCTGTTTTGCTGCAGGTGGCTTCTGATGTTAGATATCTTAAAGTAGCATGATCTGAATAATTGCAATCATTTTCCCAGACTGATTTGGGGAGGTTTGGGGGGAAAGAAGAGGTTTTAAAAATATGCCTACAGATGAGTCATGCTGGTTCTATAAAAGTCATCCTTGCAGGTGATTAGCTCCTCCTCTGACAAGGCACTGCAGTCAGATTTTAAAACTACTTCAGGTCCGCACATTCAAAAAATGACTTCCAGAGCAAATTGCAGCACAGTGCTCTGCCCCAGCCCTTCCCTCCCTGGCTCCCTGCCTCTAAAGGCCGAAACAAGTATTAGAAATAAATACTTACCAGTTTGGCATCCTGCTGACTGATGTCCTGCAGGTAGGGAACGGTTGCTAGCTCAGCCATCGCTTGATTAATCACTTGGGACTGTTCCTCAACTCTCTGCAAACGGCCAAGGAGGCTGGCGTAATGCAACTTCTCTATCCCACGTGAACACGCACAGAGATTGTCCTGTTTTCTCAGCAAAAGCAAGTAGGTTAGAGGAGAGTTGCAGAAAACACACTTATCCTTTGAGTCCTATGCCTTGAGGCTTATCATCATATATATTTGTGCTGGTAATACTATAAGAAATATGGCATCCAGCACCTTTAAGATAATGCTGCTGACAATCTTTATAGAGGAAAAAAAAAATAAGACTTTCTTTCTGCAATCTCTCTGGTAGTACTAGAAAAATAAATATGTAGTCATAATATATGTGAAGGGGAGACAGCAGATAACAAACATGAATGCAATTTTCTCATTTGGAAATGGCTTTTCCATAATCCCCTCTGTTAAATATTATCTGACTTTTATGGATTGCTTTTAAAGTTTCAGTGAAGAGGTTGAGGAAACGGTGCAGTGTGTCAGCTTATGGTTTGTTTGCAGACTAGGCAAAACCATAGTTTTCAAATATATAACCTTGAGGGACTAAAACCTGCAGAGGTGGTCTCTGATCCTCCAGGCAGATAGACACATGGTAAATTTTAAGCATATGAATACAGAAACTCAGCCAAGCTTGCATAAAATCTCAGCACCTGCTGAAGTGTTTGATGGACGGCAGCCTTACCACCATATTTTCAAAAATATTCTGATGCCAAAAATGCAAATAAGCACCCTACTGAGATTTTCAAAAGCAATTTGGCCTAGATCCCCGACAAAATGTAGCCATTGCATATCTGAATGCTCAGTCCTTCCGAATGAAATTTCCATTCATCTAATCAGGGTTTTGAACGTATTTAAGTGCCTGAAATTCCAAGAATTGGCATAAATTTTCAAAACATTTCCAGTATTTTTAGTAGACCTTTGTTCTGGCAGTTGCATGTGGTGGCACGCTGATGCTGCCATTTACATACGCTTCCAGGTAGGTGATTTTAAGTCCAATCGTACATTGAACAGGGTGAATGGAAAGCTTTGAATGACATTCATTTTTCAATAAATGGTGTCCTGTTTTTAAAATGAACTTCTCTTGGCAAAAAATCTCGATCTTTTGGTTGCATGCTGATCTTGGTTTTGCAGAAATTTGCACTGGGCAAGCATCAAGCGTTATCAAAATTACTATCAACATAGTTCTTGTATCAAGTCTAAGAATTTAATAACAATGCTGGTCTTGATTTCTATGCATCTTACAAGAATAGTAATGGGAAAAAGCTTAGTTTTCTTTTAGCCCTAGAAAAATACAAATAATCCTGGTATGGTTAATTTTATCCCTTTTAATATAATACCTAATATAATTGTAAAACAATAAAAAAATTAAAAAAAAAAAGATGATGCACTGGAGACCAATGGCAGGAATAGGGAGCTCCAGGTATGGAAGCAACTGAAAAAGAGCTGAGCCAATGAACTGCTATTGCCATTAGCCAAAGGAGAGAATCAGGCACTGCAGAGGGAAGAGGAGCTCTGGTCAGCAATTCTCTGGAGTATTGCAGATAGCTCCAGTCAGCTGTGTTTGGAGAGGTTAATTTAAACCCAAGCATCATGGAGCAGAGAAGCCAGCACGGTAGGAGATACCTCTTTTGAGAGAAGTGTGGTTTGATTAGTCTATTAATGAAAATGCCAAGAGCTTATTATTCTTCTCAATAAACATAATGCAGGGCTAAATTCCAAAGAGAGCAAACTGAAAAGGGAAGGAGAGATAAAAGACAATGATAACAGAAGGATCACTGTGTATAAATAGGTACAAAGAAGAACTGGGGTGGCAATTAAGCTTCTTATAATTCAGGTTGAAGGTCTGCAGTGTGTTTCACCAAAAGTAGAAAAGGCAGAAAGCCTAACTAGTTCTAAGATGGATTTTACGCAATTTATGAATAGGGTATTATGTGACACAAGGGTGTATAATAGCAGGTGATTTGACTTGAGGAGCCGGGGGAGCCCTTCCAGGCCTACCTTCTTAGGAACTTCTGTTGACCCACCTCTAAGAAGGGAGGCCAGGACAACCTTCTGACAAACTATTTGTGTCACCTGCAGAGTCCTTTTCTGAGGACCTGACCTGTATTAGTAGGAGACATCAGCAAGAGAAAAAGATTTCTGTGATCTCTGATATGTGAAATTGTAAGTCTGACACAGTCTAGTTAGCATGGCACTAAAGCAAGGAAAAAAATGGAGCCCCATCTCCACCTGATCATTGGTGTTTGAAAGCCAGAGAGCTGTGTTCCCAGGTGGAGCCGTGTGCATTAAAATAAGGGGAAGCAATCAGTTAATGAGAGAGAAAGAGAGGTCTTATCAACATGAAATAGTCTCACAACATTTTAGATGCAGCAAAAGGTTTTTCCCTGCTATTCTTGAAATCCGCCCCAAACCTTTTTGTGTAAGCACTAAGAAATGAGTATATTGAGTCATCAGCTAAGAAAGCAGGTAAAAATCCTCTCTCATCATGCCGTGTCTGTTGGGGGCTTCTCCAATGATTAAGAAAGTAAAGGCAAAAAGAAACAATTTTTTCTCTGCTTGACTCTCCAGAAAAATATGAGAGCATGCCACGTAGCTATGGGAAACAAATTGGGCATCTGTGCCAACATGCACTCTGTGGACATAGCGATGCTATTTAAGTTTATAGTAGGTTGGAAGTAAATAAATAAATAACCAACAGCAGGGGTTTTTTTGAAGGGATTAGAGGAGGTTGAACATTGTCAGAGGTGGCATTTCAGTGACAATGAAAAATGCAGAAAGAGAAAGTAAATAACTGCTACTGGCAGGAGAAAAAAATTCCACGGGGAGCTGAACCACATGATGAGAATTACATGAACTATAGCAGAATTCAAGGGGCTACTAAGCTGCAGTAAAAAACATAATAAAGTGGCCAAGCAATCAGATGAAGATGAAACCAGCTCAAGTAGGCACAGTGAAGGTTAAGTAAAGAGCAAACTTAAATGGAGACTTCAGTGGTAAAGAGTCTTTAACAAAGAGGAGAGAGACACATTTGAGGAATCAGGTAGAAAAGTAACCAACAAATGCAGTATGTGGAGCCACAGTTGCACCTTTGTTAGAAATGCAGTAACATATTAAGACAGTAAATGACTAAATGATGATGCTATTACTTTCTAGATGGGCCTCACCCCTACTGTCTGGTATTCCAAGGAGAATTTAAAGAAAAAAGTAAAAATGAGCAATTGATGGACTTTCTCTTGAGGACTGTATTGTTAACAGGCAGTCTCACTTGAGGTGGGGGTCCCTTCTGAGAGAACTTTCACCAGAAAAATTTTGCTGCACAAATTCCCTTTAAACAAAACAAACCAAAAAGGTGTTTATCCCCAGAGGCATCTTTGAAGACCTTCCTTCTAGGAGACCAATAAGGTCCTGATGCCTGAGGATCAGTCCTGGGAGATCTTCATTCCTCTGACCTTGGGATGAAAAAGCACCTACAAAAACCAGATCAGCCTGTTCTGGATGGAGCTTACCTGCTGTTGCTAAATACCCAGCACTAACAACGGAGCAAAGATAGGACAGGCTTTCATTTCAAAAAGGAGCTGGAGAGCATGTGAGAGGAGTGAATCATGTGTCCTTTCATATATTGAGAATTTTGGGATGATACCCCCACTTTTTGCTTTTCTCTATGCTCAAGAAAGGAGTCAGCCGTTATGCCACTTCTATTTATAAATAAAGTTTAATTGCTGAATGCTAGGAGTGCTAAAGAAAAGAAAAGTGGCTGATCAGCCTGGATTTAAAGCAGGATCTGTCATATCCAATACGTGTGGCATGTTTAACCATCAGCTTTAGGAGCACCACTTTGCAAAATTCTGGAATGCCCCCCAGTAGTTCTTTTCTATTGTGGAGTCTTTACTGCTATTTTTCAGCTCAAAATCTGAATGAAGTTATGCCTTGCAAGCATCTCTGTGGTGTATTGCAATAACAAGCAGAAAAAATCCATCATAATGTTTCTTTAATGCCCTTGGTATCCTCCAGAAAATGTGTATGCTGAAATCTGTACGTAGTAAATGCTTTCCCTCTACTTAAAAAATAGACGACAAAACAGTGAGATCTGTAAACGTGTGCATCATGCTGTGAATCATATGGTAGGTTTTGTTCACCTTTATAATATGAGCAGTCTAATAAGCCCCTCTGGCCACTGGCTCTTCTGTTAAGTAGCATCATGTGCCATCGACATGGGACTACAGCAGGAGAAAGGCAAACTTGGTGTGTACAAAGCAGCAGAAATTACCCCGGTGACATTACTTGAGAGAATAACCACTTGTCAGTGCTGGTAATCTTGACTGGAATAAGAGTAGCTGAAGGTCTGACTGATACATATTTTTTAAGGCACATACAATAACCTTTGTGTCGTGGTGTGTGTTTCTGGGCAGATGAGGTTTATGGCATTTCCCTACCAGCAGCAGATGATGCTGTGCGGGGACCAGACTGCGACATCCTCTCTCACATGTTTCTTGCTTTCCAATACACACATGTACCCTTGATTTAAATGGGACCTGCTGTTCTTTCTGAAGAAGAGCAGCCAATAGAAAATGCTCTGCTTTTTTAACCTTTAGCTTCACGTCTTACCAACGGTGGTACATGTGTAAGTCATATAATTAACTCTAGGTTGTGTAGCTGCAAAACTGAGGTGGAAGAATTGACTTACATTAAGTGTTGCCATGGCTTAATAAGCTCTGTTTTAGCACTGAGTTGTTTTTGTCAAAAAAAAAAAAAAAAAAATCTGATCAGGGCAAGCATTTTGGATTGTATGTTTGCATCTGCAAATGAAGAAGAGCGCAGAGAGGAATGTTTGTTCTATTAAAAACAAATACATTCTTTTGTCTTAAAATAAGTTGTAAAGCTAGAGTCTGTATCTGAAGGTTGTCTTGCAGAAGTTTTTAATTTAGATTGTGTGTGACGGAAATACAACAGAATCGTATTTCTAGCTTGAAGAAAATTTTGGAATACTTTCAAGGAAGCAAAAGTGGCCAAACCTCTGCCAGGCCCATAAAGAGATTTTAATCACCAGTAGCAGAGCAGTTCTGGCTCTGTGCCTATCTGTATTATCAGGTATAATTGGGTTTGTCATTTGCTCTTTGGGTCAGAGGTTCTGTCTTGCCCGGATCATTCAAGGCTATGAAAACTGAAGGGAAAGTGAATATGTTTCCACTAATAATGGGTGTGGAATTGGCAGCTGTTTGTTCTAACTCAGTGATAATTTATTCTGTCTTGGGGCTTTCCTCCTCTCCATTAAAGCTCCCATACTGCCCCTCTGGTTGCTGCTTATAGATCTATAGGACCACGATTCAGGCCTATTATCCTGTTCTTGCTGCTGCTGGTGGTGGCACTTGGGTAGACCTTGCCTGAACCACCTGGATGCTATACTGACCTCCTTGGAATACAGGGAAGTTTGCTGCTGACTTCAGTGGTGCTGGGATTTCACCCTGTATTTTTGGGAGCCCTCTTCTGTTTCAGCAAGAATATTTAAATATATGAGGTGAGGTCTAGAGCTGGTAGAAAATATTACTCTGTAGGGGCAGTGTAAATTCATACAGATAGTGGGGACTGGCTTGAGCAATCCTAACACACCACTCTGCTCTCATCTCTTACATGATGAGTTTGTTTTCTTTTCCCTCTATCCTGGGTACCAGATACCATGGGTCTCTACTTGAACCATGTAGCCCTGTTGCTCCAAATTAATTTACAGTATTCGGTAGTTATGGGGAACCCAAAAGATACCTGATTTCAAAGTTTTTTCTCTTCCTGATACTCTTTAGAAACTGAGTAACTGCAACAGAGGAATCTCACCTCTAAAAGCTCTGTGTTATACCCAAAGAGAGAACTGTGGGGCCAAGAAAAATTTAAAACATTGGTGCTTTACTGAGGCTTTCAGAAAGACCAGGGTTTTATTCCGTATCCAGTACCCAACCCACTGTCTATTTATACTTCTAGCTTCTTAAATGTTCGAAGTGCAATGCACAGCAATAACAGATATTTCACTTTCCCAAAGATGCCACTTCTATTAGCCTGCACATCAATAACTTGGGCTTTTGGTCGTCTGAAGCCAGTAGCACGTGGCTTCAGGAAAGACTGGAAAGAAGCAGCTGTGTGTTTCCTTGGGGATGTTTGCCCTCAGCCTGCTCCACCTGCCTCACACAGATGCAGATGCCTTATGAGCGCCCATTTTGGCGAAGCACTAAGCACCCTTACCTCCCACTAAGCACACGAGTTCAAGCACTTACTGTTGTTTCAGCAGCTGGTCTCTGAGAGTAAAGGAGATATAGCTTCCCCAGATACCTAGCTAATGTTCCTTCCTTGCTAGGGGTTGCTAAGTAGCATTTTTTGTCAACCTCCTATCTGGTATCAAAACCTAAGAATATAAATCCTGTGATTTGCTAAGACACCCCTGACGAGGAAATGGCTCTGATTCCTTCAACATACAGAAAACTAAAAAACTGTTATTGCTAGGGAAAAAGTGTTAACATTAGCATTTATAATCTGGGGAGGAGAGGCTTCTTCCACTTATTTTCAGGAGAATAATTTAAGAATTGCATTAAAACAGTCTAGTCTACATGCAAATTTGATTTTTGACCTTTTGTGCTAATCAAAAGCCATGGTGCTAAAAAGCTGTGTACATTATTGCAGAAAGTATGGAGTAGAATTAACTAATATACCTTCAATATGGTTGTAACAGATTTGAAGGTTATTTTACATACTTCACTACATAGGGATCAGGATCTAAATCACTAGAAATACTTCAAGTAGCAATTATTAACTCTTGATGGAGATCCTGGTGATATGCGTAGTATACTATGGGTATTAAATATAGCGAGTAGCTTTGGTGGTTATGTGACCTAGGGATACAGTATAATAGTCCATAAAGATTTGAGCAAATTGCATGCAAAGTGATTTTTAAGTAAACTGGGTACACTGTTAAATAATTAGGGCTACTTTTTAAAAGTATCTAAAACCCAGTTGAGATCAGTTCCTAATTGTCATGGTTTCAGCTGGGATAGAGTTGATTTTCTTCCTAGTAGCTGGCACAGTGCTGTGTTTTGGATTTAGGATGAGAAGAATGTTGATAGCGCGCTGATGTTTTAGTAGTTGCTAAGTATTGCTTATACTAGTCGAGGCCTTTTCAGCTTCCCCTGCTCTGCCAGGTACACAAGAGGCTGGGAGGGGGCACAGCCAGGCCAGCTGACCCAAACTGGCCCAAGGGCTATTCCATACCGTAAGGCATCACGCTCGGTATAGAACTGGGGGGAGTTGGCTGGGGAGCCGCGATTGCTGCTCAGGAACTGGTTGGGCATTGGTCAGCAGGTGGTGAGCAATTGCATTGTCCATCACTTCTTTTGTGTATTCTTTTATCATTATTATTATTATTACTACTACTTTCTCTTCCTCTGCTGTCCTATTAAACTGTCTTTATCTCAACCCACAGGTTTTACTTTTTTTTCCGACTCTCTCCCCCATCCCATGAGGCAGGGGGAGGGTGAGCCATGTGGTGCTTGGTTGCTGACTGGGGTTAAACCACGACACTGGTGCAACTCACTGAGCATTTCTGGACACAGGAGGAGCACATGCAGAATGAATTACCCACCAAAAAGCACACGTCATTCACACACGCGCAGGCTTCTGCTGCCACACAAACTACACACCAGAAAGTGAATTTTATACTTACAGTTAATTTGGTGCTTCTTATAAGATCCATTACAGGCACGATCTTTTTCCCAGTGTTATCCCAATATCTTTCTGCTTCTTCTTTTGTGAGAGGACTGAAAGGTGCTTTCCGGTCTAGGAAATGAAATCACAAAAACATATACTGTGTTTATTCATATACATTTGCCATAGAGGATCTGGCAAGATGACAGGTAAACTGGAGGAGAGAGGAGGGTGGGGAGAGCTGTCTGGACAGTCAGGGCTGCCAGCACAGAGAAATGGGTCTCGAGAAACCCTCTGACCCCCCTCATTTAGCAAGGATCGTGGAGGTCACCCCTGAGCTATCACGGCTATTAAGCAAGTTGGCATACCTGAAAAGATTGGCAGTTTTCTACTTGACCACCTTTCCAAGATTTTTCCAATATGTTTGTTTCTGAAACCCAGAGTCAGTAAGTAATGCTGGGGAGGCAGAGACGGCCACTCAGCTGTCTGTGGCAAGAGGTGAAGTCCATGAGCATCTGGAATAGGGAAATGAAAATAATTTCTGCTGTCACATTTCTTTTCAGTTGCAAGAGAAGTTACTTTTTTTTGGAGGAAAAAATAGGAAGTCTAAGGAGGAGTGAAATGCAATCCAGAAAACTTGCCAAAACAAAGGTGACCAAACCAACCCATCCAGCTATAACTGGATTTTGAAATTCCAGACTTTGCAACCTTTTTCATCAACAGCTTAAATTTTGCTGATGCATAAGACAAATCTTGTTGTTCCCATTTATGCACTTTTCAATGCCGATCATCCAAAGCATTAATAACTCAACACTTCTGTAACATAGCATCCTGATCTTTTAACTGCAAAAAAAGCTGTTTTGTTGTTCCCTGAATTTATGAGGTTTGATTTCCTACAGATTTGTGCTTTTACCATCACCACCACCGCAATCCCAGGCTTCCCACATGTCCTTTCTGATCCACCCAGCTAGCACGTGACAGCCTGTCCTGTGGCTTGTCCAGAGTTTGTGAGTGCCACTGCCAAAAAACCCCGTGTATCAGCTGAGTCCGTCTGCCCTGACCTCAGCGAGGACAGCTGCTCAGAGCAATGTATAAACCACCTTTGCTTAGGGAACCGGACCAGTCCTTTCCTCCCTCCCCTTCCTCTGCAAAAAATAAACCTAGATTGAATGTCAGTGTCACTTTTTGCAAAGGAGTGCTCTGTTTTCAGTGAGCTCTGCTTTTAAGATGCCAGGCTGTGCGGTCACAGTGACAAATGAAGAACCTCACTCAGAGCTCTCCGGACTTGCCCCTATATAAATCAAAGCAAGTGGACCTGATATTTCCCTTGCAGCATGTTCTGCTTCTGATGGATTCTCAATTTTGCAGCAAACTGCATTGTATGTTTGGATTTAAATGCGTATCTGCTCCCTTTTCCTTGGAAATAAGGAAAACTTTGAAATCAATTCAGTCCTTACACTCTAGCAGAACTTGGACTAAAATTGGACGGATGATTGTTACAGAATAGGAAGGTTATCTAAAATAACATGTTCGTGAGACATCTGGTATTTCACACCCACTGCTGAAATGGGGCTTAGCTCATACTTTTAATTTCACCTATGTGAGATGCAGACCTGCAGGTTGAATGCTCAGTGATATCACACTGGCAATGAGCTAAACTTGCTGCTTGTGATGTATTTTGGTGGGCAGTGTGATTTTAGGTCAGATCTGAACAGATAAGTTGAGAAACACCTGCTAGGTTGACTTCACCTAGCACTGTTGCGAGTTATCTCAGCATCAAGGCTGGGGAAAGGAGCTGCATCCACTCTGTCTGGGAGGGTTTCCAGGACAGAAAGGAGAGAGGTCGGGAGAGGTCCCGTCTGCATGAGACCTCTCACATCACTGCATTCTCAAAACCCTGATACCCATATTGTTTTATCTTGGCTATCTATCCCATTTAATTCCTAGAAACTTCGGTGATCCCAGGACCTGCACTCAGAGAAATTTGTGGAAAATGGAAGCAAGTCTTTTAACCAATAGATTTTTGTAAACAAATATATTTGAAGGCAGAACTGGCTCTATTCAATCTCTTTTAAAGTACTATAGGACTGGGATCTTTTACCCCTTTTTTTGCCTTCTTCCTTTTCCTTATTGGGAGGAGTGAGAAAATGACTGGTGACACTTTCAGAGTCATTCAGTGATTTATGAACACAAACTGCATTTCAGTGCAACACTTGCACGCTCTTGCTGCTTATGTGCTCCTGGAAGTCTCACCCTAACTGTAAATTGAGGGGATTATGTGAAATATGAATTTATAGTTTTTAAAATCAGATTCAGGGAGTTTTATTTCATGCTCCTTTTAATGCCAATACTTTTGTCCCTGGAAATTCTCCACAAAGTCACATCAGCAAATAAATGGTAGGCAGGGATTTTACAGCCTCCATGATAAGTCCTCATTTTCCCTCTTTGAACAACCCCAGAGCTACTGCCAGAAACCCAATACATGGGTGGTCTGCAACTTGCAAAACACAATCTAGTTTTATACTGGTTTCCTGAAGCAAAACAAAAATGAACAAAACAAGTTTACTTGTGTTAAATATTTGCACAGTTCTGTGGTAAACACTTGGTTTCCTAATTCCTATTTGTGTTTTTCAAGTAGGTTTTCTTTTCCTCCCCAAAGACACAATGTGTATTCTTTTGGAAGCCTTATTGATCTGCAGAGTACTGGGGCTCAGTGGTGCTGCAAGGACTAAGCCATCATCTCTGGATGTAACTCTCACAGGGAGCAGGCAGCATCTCAGCCTTTTAGACCACCCTGCTGGAACCAGCAGTGAGGGGTGAGCCACACATCAACTTTGTGTGATGAAGATAGAAGTTTTCCAGAATTTGACCCGAGAAACGTACTTTTCCCTTTACGTTTCTGAATGACCAACTCAAAGCCAAGCATTATCAGGGTCAACTGAGTCCCAGTCACCAGGTTAATTATAGTGAAAAAATGCCTTTTACCCCCCTGCCTCTCTTTTGCCAAAATGTCATACCCATTCCTTTTGAAATAAGGCTGTGGTCACTAGAATTTAAGTGTCTGCTTACTCCAGGAGATGCTATTTGGAATCATTCTATGGGGAGATGACAATGGGCTCTGCAAAACCCTTGTTCGCTTTGGATCCTACTTGTCTTCAACAGGCTAAAGGAAACCTGGCTATCTATTCCCACCCCTACAGCTGAGATGCTCTCAAAGGTGGCAGTCAGTCCACTAGTGCTTGCAGAAGGGACCATATTTTTGGAAAACAAAAGCCCTGCTGCAGAGATGACCATTGGTGACTGATGGAAATCCACAGAGATGGGAACGAACCTGGGTCTCACTGTCACAACAATACACTGCAAATCTACCTCTGAACAAAAGATTAGTTGCAAATGAAATTAAACAACTGAAACATGAGGCTTCATGGATAAAAATAATCTTTATGAGGATTTGCAGTGTAAAGTTGGTGCTTTGCATAAGTACTGATTTGATTACCTAAATCATGTGCAATCATAGAGCAAGTCTCAGAAGTTAATTTCCTCCCCCCCAGAAGTGTAGAAACGTAAAGGCTCATGCTCCAGACTCTCTCAAACCCTTTTTGTCAGCCACACACACACACAATATATGGTGCTTAAGAGCATGTGAAATCTGCTGTTACCTGTATATATGTGCTCCACGTAATCAGGGTGCTTTTTAGCAAACACGTCCTTTATCTTGTTTATTTTGTCAGCCTTGACTTCTGTCACAAATGGTGTGTACATAACTGAAAAAGATTTTTCTCTAGTGATGGCTTCTTCAATCATAGCCTAAAAAAGGCAAAGTAATGATACATTTCATGTTGGTTAACGGCTAGTTAAGAAAAAAAAAGAAAAATAATTACTTTTGCAGATGATATTTTCCCTTTAGTAATTGCACAGTCATGCAAAGATAACATATTTTGGTCTTGAATATTAATTAGAGGGGAATTTAAATTAGTTCCAGAAAACACTGCCTGTCTATACTCAGAAAATCAATTTAATGGAGAAAGAACATTTGTAAACAGTTTTCAGTGCAGCGAGCCTATGTCTTCAATGAGGAGAAAAGTATTAGATAAATTATCTTTTAGATGAAAAGAAAAAGTGATTCCATGCTCTCTGAAGGTCACATCTTTCATCTGAGGGTTTTATTCAGTCCTTGGGAGCTGGTTAAACAATACAGAGCATTCATATTGCCCCTTGGGTTGGCATGAATCAGACACTGTGCCTATACGGAATATTAGTCTTAAAATATTGCATTTAAACACCATTTGCATTAAGAGCAAAATTCACTCCTGTGCAGAGGGCAACACGAAGCTTATGAACCTTGTCATCCCTTAAAAATGACTCAAATGATGCATTGTGCTGATCTTATGCAGAGAGGTGGATTTCACACTCCGTGGACCCCAAGGAACTGGTGCTGAAACTGCCAGGAGGAGCTACCAGCCTGGAAACAGCCTTGCTCGGTACTCTTCCAAATCAGTGCAAGGGAGGCTGAGCGTCAATTCCTCCTGGGTTGCGATTTGGGTAAGACCACGTTCAGCGCTGCTTCATCTGCATCTGTTACTAACAACGATTTTGCCTTCCTGACATGGACAGTCCTTTCTGGAAACTGGGGGAACTGCAAGGCTTCATTAACGTGTCTTGGCAAAAACGTAAAGGTGGTTAATAGTGACAATACTAACACAAGGTTAATAGAGATGGTCAGAAAAGCATGGGAGGAAAAGATATGTATTTTTTAACACGGTGTATGAATCTCCCAGATCACCTTATACATTGAAGTGATTCACAGAAAATACCATTATGGGGCTAGCTTGGTGTTTTATTGACAAGTCCTCACTTTTGTTCTCCACTTTATCCTCCACCTATGTAAAATTATCCAAGACATAGTGTGCCTCCGTGAGTCATTTGTTTAGCTGATGACTGCTCCCACCAACCCACCACGGAAGGCTGAAAGTGCCAATTCGTTAAGTATCTATGTCCTTCTCCTTAATGGCTTTAGACAACAGGTCTTCTGATATGGTCTTATGCCAGTTTATTTCCATCCTGTATGGGGTGTGCAGAAATACCACAGAAATGCCATAATTGTTTTGAGCAGATATTGGAATAGGCTGCTATACGTGCACCCTGAGTGCTCTTACACTGAATACTCTGCCCGGATGTCGAGGGTATCACTGGGGATTTGTTTATATTTTAAATTACTATATTTAGTTAGCCCATTATTCTGCATTTACTGGAATGGAAGCAGTCTGGAATGGGCAGTATTTAGCCCTGGAAAATTAACAAGCTTCATATGTGTGTAATAGTATCATGACCACCTGGGGCAGTAATAATGTCCCCCCTCGGTGAGGAGGAATTCCAGCTTTCCACAGGCACAGCCGTGTTATCCATGGTTAATGCCACGGATCTGGAGGTATCAGACCAGAAAATAGCAAGTGTGTCCTCCTGCCAAGGGCTCGGGGGCCCGTGAATTGATCTGCGCCTCTTCCTCCCTGCGGGAATACTTACCAGTCTGCACTGATTTATAGGAAAGTGATTTTAGGATTTCATATTTCTATGGACTTTAATTATCTTGTTCAGGCCCCTCAGAGGATCAGTAGCAAAACAATGGTACCAATCTAGCTTTCCAAGGTACATTTTTAAAAAAAAGCAGAGGCCCACTGGTTCAAGTTTTACTGAATTTCATTAGTAAATATAGGCACAGAATTAGGTCAGCCTTATTTTGTGTGAGATGTTGGGTATTCTGCTTATTTTCTATAGCTTGGCAGCCATTTCCTAATCTGGATTAATATGAGCATGTGAATGTGTTTTTGGGTGTATCCATACAATTCAGATTTAAAATACATGGAGTGAGGCAGCAAGATGAAAACATGAGTGGCTGGACCAGACAAGCTCTGTATTCTGCCTGCAAAGTTCACTTTTGGCTTTATCATCCTCAAGAACAGTTCAAAGTCATGCCTATAATATCTCTGCATTGCCATGTACCCATGGCTACTCCGCACAGCATGCAGATAGTGACTAGCTCAGAGGGCAATAATGGTAAAATGTCAGCCAACGGGGAAAAGAATAGATCCGTAGTTTCTGGTCAATACTGCTACTGAAGGTATTATTATTACCCAAGAGTATTTTTTTCCCCCAAGCCACTGACCCTGCACATAGATGCTATTTGTTTTATTATCCTCTTGGATTTTTATGGGGTAAAGTCTTTAAGGATATAAAACTTCAGTCCATAAAAACTTCGGAGGAGAAAACTTTATACGATGAAATCCCTAAGGATTTTTCTGCTTCAGACTTTATGCACTGAAGTCCGTACCCATGAGTGAATATCTGGCAACGTGTCCAGGAAACAGGGATGCCTACAGAACATCATCTGTCATGCTGTACACCATGCAGCTACTCAAGGTATAGTCGCACTGTGGAGAGGATTGCAAGTGCTCCAATGGACTTTCAAGAGAGTCTTTCCAGAGAGGACAGGACAACTGTTTTTTCCCATTTGCATGTGTTTCGGTGTCTTTGCATCTAAAGGTTCCTTTCTGCAATGTCCTCTCAGATACATCGGGGAGGATGTTGCTGTTCCAGCCTTGGAGTGGAAGAAGTGTCAGGCTCTTTCATGAGTATGGGGGTAGCTGCTAAAGTGATAAAGATGATAAAGAAAGATGATTTTTTTTTTTTTTTTTGCATATCCTGCAAGTGAGCTCTGCAGCGATGTCTCATCATATGGTGCTACATTCCAGCCTTCGATTCCAGCAGAGTTAGAAAAAGTGAAGACCTTGAGATGACCTTAAACTATAAGAAAGAGTTCCTCTAGCAATGTACAATAACGTAAGGACTATGATTGACATGAGTCCACTGAATTTGGTGGTTTACCTCAGCAGCGGACAAAATCTATTGCTTCAGCAAAGATGCAAGAACTCACTCAAGAAGAAGCTGCAGAGAAATCTCATGATAGGGAAGATTTCTTTTTGTAGTTACGGGACTGACTCATGCTCTTCTATGTCAGGAGGTTTATATCCCTGTTTTGGAAGTGTGGGGAATCAGAGAAAGTCTGCAGAGAAACCATCTGGAGACAAAGTGTCTCAAGGAGTATTTATATTGTCAGCACTTCTATTAAAATACCAATTAATTCCTTCATGAAACACAAGCGTCACAAGGTTTGAGGGATGTACATTGCTATCATGACAATGAAAAAACCAAAAGACATTCCTAAACAACAAACTTTGTTTTGATCAAGGGTTTAAACATATATTTCACCCAACACCACATATTCCTCTGAGCGACTTGGCTCTGCAATATCCTTACATTCTACCATATCTAGTAATGTTACATTTCACAGACCTTTTAATAAAACTTAAATTTTAGCCTAAACAATCTTATATTGTCCCTTCAATACCCACTAAAATTCTGTTAAGAGCTCATAAAATGAATAGGCAGATGCACAAGAAACAAAGCTTTCCTGTGCCAACTTTTGATGGCAAATGATATAACTACTTCAATATTTTTATGAAGTTCTTGCCATTTTGTCTGCTTAGAGCAGACATAGAGGAAGAAAAATGGCACTGTAGCAAAAAATTCTTCATAACAGTGACAGTAGCTTTCTCTGCTACAGTCCCTAACCTTAATCCTCTTTAACTACAGAAAGGTTTAATTTGGAAAATCCAATTATCTTGACATCTAGAATTAGCCAAAAATTTAGATATCTTTCTAGTGCCTTATCTTGCAGCTGCAGTGCACGCTCAGCCACTGTCTCATTTACAGTACAGCAGGAC